TGAGGTCTCGCCGCCCAGGTGGGTCTCGAACCCGTGGGCTCAGGCAATCCACTCACCTCGCCTCCCAAAGGCGTGGGATTACAGGCTGAGCCACCGAGCCCCGGCATGATACGATTTTTTAAAACAATGAACATTATATTCCTCTTGCATTAAGGGGGGAAAAGCACATCATAATCATTTCAAAGGCCTCAAAACAAATGCTGCCGAAGAACTGTTTGAGATGCAGATTATCATCTCATAAACAGCATTAGACCCACCAGTTAGTAACTTAATATCTAAGCAAACAAACATGGGTGAACAAATAGTAATTATGAAATCAAGTTCTAATTATTGTTGCTGTCAAGGCATTAGCCAGAGAGACGAGGGGTTTGGGGAAATGGACAATATGGCTCCCATAATTTCCTGAAGTTACTCAAAATATGTCTCACATAGAAACCAAGAGTTTGCCTTTCTGTAATGATCACTTTTGTGTCACCTTGACCAGGCTATAGTCACTAGATTTTTACAAATGCTAATCTAGGATGGGCATGGTGGCTCATGCCTATAATCCCAGCACTTTGGGAGGCGGAGGTGAGAGAATTGCCCGGGAGTTCGAGACCAGCCTGGGTAAATTCGCTAGACCTTGTCTCTACAATAAATCAAAAATTAGCTGGGTGTGGTGGCCCATGCTTGTAGTTCCAGCTACTTGGAAGGCTGCGGTGAAAGGATCACCTGAGTCCAGTAGGTCGAGGATGTGGAGGCTGTGAACATGCCACTGAACTCCAGCCTGGGAGACTGTGTAAGACACCAACTCAAAAAATAAAAGTTAATCTAGATGTTGCTGTGAAGGTATTTTGGAGAGATGATAGGGCAAATCATCAACTGATAGATTATTCTAGATAATCAGGCCCCCTGGGTGGGCCTGATTCAGTCAGCCAAGAAGCCTTAATAAGAGAACTGATCTTCCCTGGGAAAGAAAACACTCCAGTTGAGGACACAGCTTCAGCCCGTGCTAATCCCAGTCTGCACTTTCTGCCTTCCTTGCTGGCTTGCACTGTGGCTTCAGGCATGCCTTGCCAGTACTTACAGTTGCACAAGCTAGTTCCTTGTAATAAATTTCCTAATATGTAGCTCTTACTGGTTCTGTTTCTCTGGCTGAATTCTGACTAATACACCTTCCAATTTAGAGGCTTCAGGGATCTGTATGTCACTGAGTGGCACGGAAAACTTGACATTTTCTGCTAAGGCATAAATCCTTTCACCACACACAAAGGAAGCAACTAGTCTGGGAATTATAAAGTTGAATCATAATACTGCTGGAAGCAGGAAATCTTGTGGCAAGAGCTCTACCCAGCCCCTACAATGTTGCCTTCATGACTCTGGGACACAGACCCCCATGATTTCAGAGGATATTTTATTATCTCAAGTTTCTTTTTTTTTTTTAGAGACTGGGTCTTGCTGTCACCCAGGCTAGAGTGCAGTGGTGCAATCACAGCTCACTGCAGCCTCAACCTCCTGGGCTTAAGGGATCCTCTCACCTCAATCTCCCAAGTGGCTAGGTCTCACCCAACCTGGCTAATTTTTTGTAGAGGTAGTTCTATGTTGCCCAGGATGGTCTTAAACTCCTGGCCTCAAGCAATTCTCCCACCTCAGCCTCCAGGGTAATTGGGTTTACATGCGTGAGCCACAGCATCCAGTCTTAAAGGATATTTTAGGTGTCAACCTCTCACAAAGTGTTTCTTTTTAGTTCTTAGGCAGTGACATTGTATCCTGAGCCCAGAATCCCCCACAGGGAAATTAGGTCTGCCTCATTTATTGGGGGTGAAGGTGTGTGATAATTTCAGGTACTAGTAAGTGCTATGAAAAGATCTGACAAGAAAAGATCTGACAGACCGAATAGGGTGCTGAAAGCTAGTTAACTTTGCAGGGAGACGTCTCTGGGGAGTCAACATTTGCCATCTGAATGGCAACAGCAGTAATGACAAGTATTCAAGAGCTGGGCTCGGTGGCTCAGCCTGTCATCCCGCGCCTTTGGGAGGCTGAGGTGAGTG